CCCCCTACTCAAGCAGGGACACCTTTAGCACGTTGTACAGAATTGCATCCAGGTAGACTTTGAGTATCACCAGAGAGGGAGGAGATTCCTCAGCTTTTCCAGGCAGCTGCTTCTTGTGCTCTGTCACCTGCACAGCAGAGAAATTTTTCTTCATATTCATATGGAACTTCCTGTGGTAAAAATTGTGCCTGATGCCTCTTAGCCTGCTGCTGGGCACAGCTGGGCAATCTGGCCATCATCTTATTGCCAACCTAACTGAAGGTACTTGTATATGTGGACAAAATCATCTGTCTTCTCCAGGCTGACCACGTCCAGCGCTCTGCCTTTCCTTATCAGAGAGGTGCTGCAGTCCCTTTGTTTTCTTGGTGGCCCCATGGGCTCTGTGTAGTTCCAGAGCTCTTCTGTACAGAGGAACCCGGCACTGGACCTCATAAGGGCTGAGTAGAGAGCAAGATCACCTCCCTCGGCATGCTGACCGCACTTTTCCTAATGCACTGCAGCATAGCATTGGGCTTCCTGGCTGTTCTTAGTAACAGTTACAGGAGTTGACTTGTCATGTTATTGTAAGCATTGTAACAAGCACTGTTTTCCCAAAATAGTATGTTTATAGATTGGGATGATTAAAACCCTGAAGAGGTACTAAGGATACTAAGCTACAGGTAATGGTGTGAATTCCAAGCTCCAGAAACTCTGGAAAAATTGTTTTAAAGTGTAGGATTCGTCCTTTTCTGTTGTTGCTATAGTTGTGTGTGTATAGCCAACCTGTAATCTGTCATTCAGGATACTTAATTCTCTGGACTAGGGAGATTCTCTTATGAGGATTTTTGGAAGTGAAATTTTTATGTTTGTTGTTACTTCCAGCCTTAAAGACCTGCTATTGTTTCAAACTCACGTAACTCGTATAACTCATTGAAAGCCAGCATACTGGCAAATCTGATATTGAACAATATTAAGTATCTGAAGGAAACATTTTAATGACTAATGAAATTATCTGAGAGAAATTAATAAGTAAATCCTCCCTGTCTGTTCTTGGAGACATTTTTTTAGCTTTGCAGGACGTGTAATAGCTATTCTGTATTTCATGTAAAATGTGCAGAAAGCTGCAGATGGAAGTTGGAAAAAGATGCAGGAAGAGCTTGGCATCTGTCAAGGAGTGTGATTAAATGCTGATTTGAAGTAATGTGATTCACTGTTTGTGAAACTAGTAGGAAAGCTAAAGTCTTACATCAATAGTACATCAGAAGAATGAATCTCAGACAAATTAATCTGGCTTTGACCTTACAGTTCTGTGTGGTTGTTGGTGCCCATCCTAATCAGACATTTCAAGTGTCCAAATATGAGAACTTAATATTTGCTTCAGATTGAAGTAACTGACTTTTTCTTTCATTCTGCTCCTAGTATTAAGAGTTCTGCTCAACTACCCTTCTTCTGGATGTCTCAGTTCAAGGTGAATGGGCAAATTATATAGGCATACACACACTTTTATATATAAAAAACCCTTAGTTCTGTGTATTAATGTGTGCATATATGTAAATATATACATTTCCTTTCCCTCTCCCTAACCCAGTATGATGTGTGAGTTAACTAAATGGGGTTGGGATGTCCCCAAGACAATTGCATGATTCATGTTTATTTCTAGAATACGCCAAAAAGAACCAACTGGCAATATTGTCAGTTTTTTTTTCCTGCATGTAACTAAGATTTTATAAAGACAACTTCGATCTGTACTAGGACAGAACTTGGACACCATTGGTGTTCCAGGTACACCAATTTTGTTAGCTGCATCACTGACTTCTGACAAGTGTTGAGTGAGATTCCTCTTGCTCTTTTTTGCCCAGTACCCAATATTCCTTTTTCCTTTGCTCAGGGGATACTTGAAATACAAGTGCTGTAAAGGACAGACTTCTAGTGCAGATGTCAGTTGGCCCAAATGTTATTAATGAAAATTGATTAATAAATATTATATACTTCGATGTCTTTTGTAGATACTTCTTATTCCAAAGGAGAACGGTATTAATCCTTAACCTTGCATTAAATGTTCCAATCTAATTTTAGTCAAGCCTAAGTATTTTTTCAGAAGAAAAATTCACAACAATTAGGACAAAAAGCACAAAAATCATTAGCTACCAACTCAAGTATAGCCAAGAGTGCCTTATGTGCTTGTAGCTGCTGTGTTTGGTAACACTTAACCCAAGGTCTTTCGGTTCTCTTTCAAAGTACATCACTGTGTTTTTTTCTTTTTTTCTTTTTTTTTTTTTTTTTGAAATAAGGACAGTTCACATCACCTTTCTGAGTAAGTCGTGTCAGATACCAGCACAGCTGTGGACTGGAATTCTCTTTTTCTGAGAATCATGTCCTCCACAGTAGAGCTATAGCAAATGGACTTAATGGAATGCTAATGAAATGCTGAGTCATAGGCCCTATTGAATTTTATGAGTAAGTGCTTTTCTTGTTCTTATCAAAAATCCAATGGCAGTTTTCAAATGTGCAGAAATAGAGACAAAATGGCTTTTGGTTCTCAAGATCATTGATTCTATCCTGTCTTTCGGTGAAGACAGAACAAGACCAGAAAAGTATTTTGGTGCTTGTAGTTTTGATTGATCTCCAGGAGACAGCTATGTCATAAGTATAACTGAAAACACTAGCAGCATGTAAACAAACAAAAGGTAAGGCATCCCTGTCATTAGAAGCCTATCTTCTGCTAATTGAATTAATTTACTTACACTCCATTTAAGTTCAGACAGATTGTCACTGCCATCTGGCTCCCAGAGAGCAGGTAGGACAAGTACAGTGAATTGTGCATAGATTTCATTTATCAGAATTTCATGTCTTGCTAGATTTATCTCACAATTTCAGAAGGCTTTAGGCACAGTAAGTTTTTTGGACAAGGAAAATTCTAGCACTAGTACAAAACTCTGACCAGACAAGAGTTTCAACATGTAATTGGATGTCTGGATTCCGTGCCACTTAAAAGAATAGTAAAGATTCAGACATAGTAGGCCCTGGAAATAATTGCTTTCCTCTAATGGGAGAGTCGGCCATTCTGATCTCTCAGCATGATTCAGGCTGAGTTCCGTTTACTTTGAAAGGGATCTTCTTTCTTAGGCACTGCGTTGTGATGAAACTTTTGCTAGGGGCCATACCTGGAGTCTCCTAGCTGAAAGGAGGGAGGCACAGTACCTTGCTCGCTCCTGGCATTTCCTTGAGGTGCAGAGGGATGCGTTTCTGTAAAATGGCCTTCCAGATGAAAACATTACCATCATTTTACATGATATCTCTTGGTATCACTTTGTGCTGATTTAGGACAAGAGAATCATGCACAATATGGGAGACCAACTGCGTGGCCTCTAGGATTTGCTTTTCCAGTTTCAATGTACAGATTTACATGCCTGAGAATGCGCCTCGATAGGCATGTGCCTTATCCTGTGGTCCCAGTAGAGCTAGCATTCTATTTTAAAGTTCTCCTTGAAGAGGTATTGCTGGTATTCTTTTTAGCTTGTAATGGATCTCTGGGCTCTGGAGAATAACTTCATAATCTGCTGACTTTAGAAGGTGGAATATATTGTCTTCTTTTGAAGTTTTCAACCAGAAGGCCACACAGCTGATTAAACTGATTTATAATATGCTGCAAAACATTAAGTGTAACTCCAGTGCTCTAGTATTTATTCCCAATCACATGTATCCCACAGTTAAATTTGCCTTGGAAATGGCTCACCTGGTGTGATTCACAGCGTAGCTAGTCCTGGTCTGTACCTACTGACAGACAGGTCTGTTTCTGTATGTGTAACTCTGTGCATGCAGTGGGTTGGTTACTCCTTAAATGTTGTTCTCCAAGATGTAATACAGTGGAGCAGTTTTCTTTTCAGCGAAGCTTGTCCTCTTCCTCAAACAAGTTTGATTTCCTCTGACTAAAAGTACTGTAAAAGTATATATTGGAATTAGAAACCAGGCCTGAAATCACAGCTGCATCAGAACTTTGTAGCTACAGGCTCTGAGCCCAGTAAATAGAGAGGTTTTATTCTTAAAAAAAAAAAAAAAGCTGAACCTGGTGTATATAGTGGTGCATAGTAGATGTGTGGGTTATAATCTCGGGATGATGAAAGATCAGAGTGCCTGTTCTGAAGTGATACAGGATAAGCATGGGTTACACAACCGAGAGTGTTTTAAATTACTTTTCCTTGTGATTCTTCAGATGCTTCAGTGCCAGATCTTCATTTGTTTATGTTGAAGTTCTTCTCTTTTGTTGGCACTTTCTTTGTCTAATATCTGTCTGGATTGTTGAGTAAATAAAATTGCTATATTGACACACAATAATTTTTGATTGCAGATGCTGCAAAGTACTTTCACGTTTCATAAGTCAATGTTAGAAGCACAATTGTTTTTTAGCTTAACAGTTAAGAAGTGCTTTATAAATCACAGTATCAACGTTCTAAGTCATTGTTCCTAGAAATCTCTCTTTGGATCTTGGTCAGTCTTTTTTTAATACGGATACCATGATTATTTTTGCCTGTTGAAAGAGGATGCACTTACATTACAAAGATTAGCATATACTATTTTTAATTGACTACCAGAACCAGTTGTAATTGATATTGAGAAAGCTGCTACTAGATAAATAGAAAGTACCTTTTCTCAGTGATGGGATGCTGCTTCTGAAAGAAAAGCCTTCTGGGAATAGGTTGATCTTGAGGACTCACTGGAGCCTTTGTGTTACTGAGCACATTGGTTGTCACTGGTTTGTCATATGATATAGTTCCAAAGGCTGGGTAGGTGTAGTGTTTTGCAAACTTGAAAAACATGAAAGTGTTACATTTTATCAAAGGACCAACCTTTTAAAGATGTATTTTGATGTCAGTAAAGTATTCAGTAAATACAGAGCTGCATTTGAAAGTACAATTTTATGACTGCATAAATTGTTGCTTAGTATAAACTCATTTGTAGGTAGAACTTGCATGTGTATACATTGTGATAAACTGTTTTAATTCTGTTTGCTCTTTTTGCAGGCTGCGGACTTGAGTAAACCAATAGACAAAAGGATATACAAAGGAACACAACCTACATGCCATGACTTCAATCACTTAACAGCCACAGCAGAAAGTGTCTCTCTTCTAGTGGGCTTCTCAGCAGGCCAGGTCCAGCTTATAGACCCTATTAAAAAAGAAACTAGCAAATTATTTAACGAGGAAGTAAGTAGAAATCTTAACATTGTTGCATGCAATGTATTTCTGATATAAAAGATCTTCAAAGTGCAATAGGTGGCTTTGTTTGCCTATACAGCTCATCATTCAGTCACTGCCTTTTGTTTTCCAGATGCTTCATTGATTTAGATTCGTACTGAAAAATATTATTCGTTTAGGAGCCTTTTGGGTTTGTCATGGTTTTAAGGGAAAAAAAAAGTCAGGACTTCTTAGTTTGGGTGATACTGTAAATGGAACTAATGATAGTTAGCTTAATAGAAAAATATCTTCACATCTAAATATTGCTGCATGTTCTCTTACAGACAGTTGCTTCTAGACGCATTTAGTTCCAAATGGAGAAGAAAACAGTTGAGCCCTTTTTTAATATGTTGATGTCAAAATATTAAATCTTAATTAAGGTAAAAATACAGTTTTGTATGGTCAGAAAGCTGTCTGTACCAAGGATTCCTACAGGCTTCCTTAGGGAAGCCCAGGATATTAAACTGAATGCTGCATAGGGGAAGCAGAATGCTCACAAGGTCTAGACTGTGACATTCCTGAAAGAATCTCCATCTGTGCCATAAGGAAGAAAATAGAGGCAGTGCTAAGGTGGGTGGTGCACTTAGGTCGGTTTGCAAGACCACTGGCTCTCATTGCCTGGTAATACTGGTATTCTTAGAAAGGTGAGTGTAAGTTTACAGGGGAAGAGATCTGTAACTGATAAAACACGGGCAGCGTTTTCTGCAGAGGATAAGCAAGAGATTATTTATTGCTGCTTTTTATGTTCTAATCCAACTGCAGGTAATGCATGAGGTAATCACAAAGAGCTTTGCAGGTGGTTTGTTGTTGGAGTTTTTTTTTTTTTCCTGAGACTTCAAATCTGGATAAGGGCTTTGCAGATTAAGTTAAGCCTTGCTCAGCTTTCAGACTGAGAAAGCGTATCTTTCCAACCTCTGGGAGTTGTTTTCTTTCTCTGTGCAAAGAAAATTGAAGTATTGTTCTCAATGGGGTTGTTTTATAATTAGAACTGTCTAATTCCTTCTCGACTTTCTAAAAGTAGCTACAACTAGATCAGAAGAGGAGTGTTCTTTGTTCCAAGCCTTTTACACCTGTTCTCTTTGCTTGTGTAGAATGGGAAACAGTGCTGGAGAGCCTCCTAATTTTGCATGGAACATTCTTTTTGGTAGAAACCTCTGTATGTATTCCTTCTAATGTTGTCCTTTTAAAAACAACAAAAAGCAATCACAGAAAACCTGCGCAAAACTTGAGCATTGGTACAGCTTCACCACTGGGAGTGCTAATGTGGATGTGAGCAAATTACTTGTGTCAACACAGCTCTGACGTAATCTTCTGTGATAGTAGCATAAGTATTAAAAATGGTGGTAGTAGAAAACTGAGTAGCTAAAATAGCCTTTCACAGAGCAATTGCCATTCTTGTAGCTGACCCGTAGTTGCCTTAAGGAAAATACCTTATGTAAAGATCAAATGCATGTTTACCTGCTTTGATGTTTACTGTCTAACTTCTGTGGTGTAGAGATGCATTGCGGGCTGAATAATTCATTTGATATTCCAAAAGTGATAGAAACACTGCAGCAATCTGACATTACAAAAAGCAGCCTTTTCTGTTATCACTGACAGTACTTCACTGTGATGGAAATGCATCCTCTGCCTGTTTGGTGGAAATTAAATGATACTTCTTTCCTTCAACTCTAGCAGAGATTTGCTTGGTGCTACCAGAACTTATTCACCTGTTGGGTAGAGTTAGAAGACACGTTCTTTTTTCCTACACTGATTTTCATCTGTGGTTACAACGAACTCCAAAATGTCTATTTTCAATCTATCAGTTACAGTACTGAAATTTGCTATGGCTACGATTAGAAATTTTATCTTGTATCTAAAAACCATTTCAGAGAAACATTAGTGAGTGTTTGTTTGAGTTAGTACATTTACTTCACGATGAAGGTGTCTGTTGGTTTTTGAATATATTTAGACTTCAGACAGTACATGAAGGTAAACATACCATCCTAGTCAGAAGGAGGTCTAAATGAGCATTTACATCTTTTGACAGATGTAGCACTGGTGCTAGAGTAGTAGAGATAATAGAATTATCCACTCACCCTGGTAGTAACTTGGTGATACAGGTAGCCCAAGGCTCTGTTTTGATTATCACCTGTGATAAAGCAATCAGGATAGCTTTTAATGATAAACGATACGTGAAATTGCTTAACATCTTAAGACACAAGGTGGTGTGGAAGCTGGAGTAAATGAAGGCTATTGCCTTTTAACTTGTAACTTTCTTCTACATCAAGAGTTGAAAGAAAAACTTGAAAAGCTCAGGTGCTTAATACTGTGTAGCTTGTGGCAGCCTGCCTGAAACAACTTGGATCAGTAATGATATTCTTTCTAGTTGTGTCAGAATCTAATTAGTGATGTGTTCTTTTTCTATTTCCCAAACCAACCAAGTGTGCCTTACACATGCAGTTGTTTCCAGGCAGTACTTGGCTATCCTCAAGGTAGCCAGCTGAAATAGGTTTCCTTTATTGTATTTTTTATAATCTTTTTATTTAAACCAAAGCCTTAAGCTGCACCTTTTCTTTATAAACTTTTCTTCTACTTGTGTTGCTAGAGCTCTTTGCCAAACCTTAATGCAAATGCCTTACTTGCCTCCACTTTTTTTCTGCCTCCTGGCCTGTGCCTAAAATTTTGTTCAAGGTTGTTCAAAACAGCAGTCAGAAGGAGTTTATATTCCTGGCTGATGGCTGAAGCTCTTTTATTTACTATTATTTCACCAAACTGAACACAAGCCCTTTATCCCAGCTGCTCTACCAAGTTGTTTGGTACTTCATTCTGTCCTTTATTGTGTCATACTGAATTAAGGTCTTATTGTCCTTCACTCCAGATGTGTGAACCCAGTCAAAAAACTTTTAAAACATAAAGTCGTAACTTCAAAATTTGAATCTTTGTCCTGAATTTTAAAGCTCTGCTGGTTGAGAAGGGATGAGTTGTGGTCATTTGCTATAAATCTTATTTCTTCAGACCAATGTGATTTCATTATATATCGCAATCCTGTTTTGCTCAGAGCATCTTTGAGGTAAAGGTGTTCAGGTTTGGGAAATTCTTCTGCAGTACTCTGTGCTGTGTAGCTCAACGTGATTGTGAACTTAAAACACAATTTTCAATACGAAAGTTGAGTGTTTTGTGAGTAGGAATCGTATGTCAGGTTGAGCTGTTGTAATACAGCAAAGCAAGCAGTTTCACTTTGCTGTATTAGTCGTAGCTTTGTAACAAGGAAACTGTTGCCTCAAGCAGGCCAACCTGACAAATATTTGTCTTTTTTTAGTTATGTATAAAGTTGTTTTCTGTCTAACAGTTCTGTTATCATTATTACTGAGATGCAAATGATCTATTTTAATGAGCATGTGACAAATTATTTAAAATATTATTAAAGATGAGAAGATGATGGTGTTCTTAAAACTACCTGATTTGAGAAAAGGTTCACAGATTAACTTAGCTCTTGAGTACAAAATGAGAAGTTATGGAAGAGAGGGTTCCTGGTCTTATATTGAACTTGACAGCAGCAAACATATGTGAAGATTATAGCACAAAATGGCCAGGTGCTGCTTTTGATAGTTACAGGCCCAGAATTGATAAAACTCAGTGTATTATCCATCAGTTTTCATTTTGTGATAAACAGCATATCAAGGGATTTTTCTTTGCTTTTTTTTTGGGGGGTGAGGAGGGTGGCTTTTGTAAATTGTTCTGGAATTTCCTCAGACTCTCTGTATTTGCATTCTTGTCTTTTGTATAACTCAGCTCTCCTTTTAGCCTATAATCAGTCTGTCCCAAGTACAGACCTTGAATTTGCATGTAAAGAATTTTGTTTCCAAGTTTCAGTTGAGTGATGCCATGGCTGACTGTTGACCAGTTCACTGGAATTGCACTTGACTCCCTGAGTTTGACTTTACCTCTCACTTCTTAGAGCATTGAAAACATGAGTTGGGGATGTTTATTTGATGTGTTCATTGTTTTGTGATGATGGACTTTATTAAAATGTTTTTCTTTAAATGAAGCTTCTTAATCAGGTGATAATTGGGAGTATAGATAGATTCTTGGCTAATGAATGAAAAGTAATTGAAGGATGGGGTTTTCAAGGTGAAGAGGATGTGTGCCTTCTGAATTTGCTGAATTACATGCATCTGACTATTAACTCTCCAACCAGGGGACACTGTGTAGCATTTGCTCCATAAATCAGTAAGCTGGTCAAGATTCCTAAAGCTTTTTTTTTTTTTCCTTCAAGGGACGATTTTTATATATGTGATTTCAGATAAAACCTGAGTCTAAACTTACTGCTGCTGATTTAGAATGTATTTGCCCTGTAGCATAGATAAGTAACAGCCTTTTTGCCCTTCAGTTCATTCTGCGTTGTTGGTGTTTTGTTATTTTTATACCCTTTAACCTACACAGTGAAAAGTAAACATCAGGACTCTACCTTGAGGTTCATAGCAAGAGATAGGGTTTATCAGAGTATGTTCTTTGCAATATGACTGGACAACAATAACCTTTGGTAGCACTTTCTCTAAAAATCATTTTCTGTTAATTGCTTGATAAGATTATAAGTGTTTGTGAATATCGTAACGTAGCTCTTTTCCAGAAAGTTGAATCGACTTTGCTTAAAGTTTCTCCTCCTTCTCCCCAGAAAGTTCACCTTTACAGTTAATCATTAAAACTTTACTTTTCAGACTTTCTGATGTGTATCTTCTTTGTTTTTCACAGAGACTAATAGACAAGTCCAGAGTAACCTGTGTAAAATGGGTACCAGGTTCGGAAAGCCTTTTCCTAGTAGCTCATTCCAGTGGCAATATGTACTTATATAACGTGGAGCACACTTGTGGTACCACAGCCCCGCACTACCAGCTACTTAAACAAGGAGAAAGTTTTGCAGTTCACACTTGCAAGAGTAAATCCACAAGAAACCCTCTGCTTAAATGGACAGTAGGTGAGGGTGCCCTGAATGAATTTGCCTTTTCCCCAGATGGAAAGTTCTTGGCATGTGTGAGCCAGGATGGTTTTCTTCGCGTGTTTAACTTTGATTCCGTGGAATTGCATGGTACAATGAAAAGCTACTTTGGAGGACTGCTGTGTGTGTGTTGGAGTCCCGATGGGAAATACATAGTGACGGGTGGAGAGGATGACTTGGTAACAGTTTGGTCTTTTGTGGACTGTCGAGTAATAGCAAGAGGTCACGGACATAAATCGTGGGTCAGTGTTGTTGCGTTTGATCCATATACCACTAGTGTAGAAGAGAGTGACCCGATGGAATTTAGTGGAAGCGATGAGGATTTCCAAGACCTTCATTTTGGCAGAGATCGAGCAAATAGCACGCAATCTAGGCTATCCAAAAGGAACTCTACAGACAGTCGTCCAGTAAGTGTTACGTATAGATTTGGTTCAGTAGGCCAGGACACACAGCTCTGTTTGTGGGATCTTACAGAAGATATCCTCTTCCCCCACCAACCTCTCTCAAGAGCAAGGACACATACAAATGTCATGAATGCCACAAGTCCACCTGCTGGAAGTGGTGGAGCTAACCCAGGAAGTAACGGAAACAGTATCACAACACCTGGAAACTCTGTACCCCCTCCTCTTCCACGGTCAAACAGCCTTCCACACTCTGCAGTCTCAAATGCTGGCAGTAAAAGCAGTGTCATGGATGGTGCCATTGCTTCTGGTGTTAGTAAATTTGCAACCTTATCACTACATGATCGGAAGGAAAGACACCATGAAAAAGATCACAAGAGAAATCATAGCATGGGACATATATCTAGCAAGAGCAGTGACAAACTGAACCTAGTTACTAAAACCAAAACGGACCCAGCTAAAACTTTGGGAACACCTCTCTGTCCCAGAATGGAAGATGTTCCCTTGTTAGAGCCTCTAATCTGTAAAAAGATAGCACATGAAAGACTGACTGTGTTAATTTTTCTTGAAGACTGTATAGTCACTGCTTGTCAGGAGGGATTTATTTGCACATGGGCAAGGCCTGGTAAAGTGGTAAGTTTTAATCCTTAATGCTGCATCAAAGAACTAGAACTCTGAATAGGTAGTTTTCTTGAGATATAAATGAATGTTGAATATAAAATTTCTTTATGCTTAATGTAAAAAAAAAAATCCTCAGAGCCATACTTTTGGATACTGCATGCCATATTTCTGAATGATTTGAAGTGTCTTGGATACAATTATTAAGTATAGTTGCCTTCCAGCAGAAGAAATAAATACTGTGCATCTAAACTATTGATCAGTGTTCTTATACTTAAGCGTAACCACAATATGGTGAAAGCTATTTATGTAAAAATTGAAGTAAAACATGTCAATCACTAAAATAATTATATTTCAAGTGTTTTCTGCAAAATAACTGCACTCCCAATAACAGTAGCTTATAAAAGCTGCTGCTTTCAAGTCTAACGAGAAATGTGAGCCTCTGAAAAATTAAAACCAAAGTGTTTTATTCCTCCATACTTTTCTGTGGTGGTCTGCCGTTAATGTAAAACCACTTCTTATTAAAGTGTTGACCATTCTATGAGCAGATTTGTGAGCCCATTACTGACTGTAGTTTATGCTTTTGAAACTGTGAATCAGTACTGTCAAGGAAATCTAATTTTAGCTGGTCTTGACTTATGTATTCTTTGTCAAATTAGGGAAAATTGTACAAGCTTGCTCTAAGTAGCTCCACTTTTATGTTACTGTCACTTCTGTTAGTTGAATTTGGTCATCGCAAGCTTGTGCTTTCTGATGGCACCCGACCCATCAGTTGAACCTTCATTAAAATATATTATTAGTTTTAACTTTCACTGTTAATGCACTTAAATGCAGTTAAAATCTTATTTTTCTTCTGTTCAGTGTTCAACAGCAAGCTAAACTTGGAATGAAGCTAAAAGTGGTGATTATTTTATTAAAAAGTACCTTGTGCTACAGTGGCTTTGTTTGTCAGCAGTATTTTAAAGGAGTACAGCTAGGAAAACATTGCCAGAGCTGATCTACCAAAAAGGGCCATTACTTCTGTGAAAGCTTCTGGAGTTCTGTGGCAATGTAGATCATCACCTGAAGGGAAAAAATCTGCCAGTATCTGAATAGTGCCACATCAGGCAGCATAAATGACCATCTGATGGTTGTGATATTTTAACTACTTTGTTCGTAAATCTCACTCTTGGAGTGGAGGTACTGTAAACGTTTAACAATAAACACCACTCGTTCATTGCTATAAGATTTTAAGTAAGGCTCAAGATTTTTTCTTAAAACGTTTCATATGATGTAGGTTTCTTTGAGGTGTTCTAAAATCTGTCACTACTTATGTACGCAAAGACAGCTGTGCCCACTCTACATTGCAGTGCATTTTTCAGGGTTATAACTAATGCTAAGAATTGCAAGCCCTTCTCTGCAGAGAAAAGTGGAAGGTAGTACCTAACAATATTTTTTGCCTAAGAACTACAGCTCCAGCATTAATTAAAAAAAAATTAGTAAGTCTTAAGAATTAGCATTATATATGTACAGCAGTGCCTCAGATTTCTATTGTGAGCTATTTTTTTTCTTTTTGTTCTAAAATTCCTCTTTGTACTACTAAATGCTACACTGTTAAATTTCAGTGGCTGAAGTGGGTTTTGTTAGACTGGTTATAACTTAAACACATTCTTTCTTGTGTATTAACTTTGATTTGGAATATGACATTTCAAATATTTCAGAGATAAAGTATGCAGTACCAAAAATCAGGATTTATGTATTGGCCAATATGGAAAACTTTAATTACAGGTAAGTAATTTTCATGCTGAAGTTATCACTTTCAAAATTAATATTGCACACTGATGTAAATGCCATATTGTTTAGGAAGTATTTACTTAGAAATTTTCAAATGAACTTGTTTTTCTGATATCACTTGCATTTCTAGAGAGCTCACTCTGATGGTAAAAACTGAATTTTGATGGCATGTTTACAGGGGTTTGGTAGGAAACTATTTGTGCCAGAAGGACGTTATGAGCATTCTTTTTGTTTATAGAAAAGCACTTAATTTTATTTAATGAGAGTTGTCAAAGTATAAAACACTCATGGTAATGTCTTTCTTACTGGGTTATATACCATTCATTTCTGTTTCGCCACCTGTTTTATCCTAGGCTATCCCATGACTCGGGGTTTAAAGCTGCTATTTCTAGTCTTCCTTTTGAAGTATGGGTCCCCAAGTGATCTTAAAACTCCGTCACTTTTTTTTTGTCTGCCAACTCTAGAGTGAAAGCCTCTGAATCTTGCTGCTTCTTCCATCATTGCCTCAAAAGGCCTTCTGTAAATTCCTGGCACTGCCAGCCTAAAGAAAGAATTGGATGGAACGCTGAAGCAGACTTGCAGCATTTAATATAATTTGCATTGAGCCAGTGCTACCTTTCCCTCATTTTTAGTAGCCATCAAAAGACACGCTGGATAATTGGACAGTGCACGACAAGGTCTCTGAGTTTTGTGGTTGGTCTGGTGCTGCTGTTAGTGGAAAAAAACAAATCCAGAAACTTCTTTTCAGCTGTGATCCTTAGGATAGGCTGTACTGTGCATACAGTGTCCTCGCAGTTCGTAAACAAGCTTTCCAAATTATGTCATGTGTATAACATAATCATACCTTGAGCTTCCTCACTGGCTATACCATGCTTATATCTCACTCCCACAACTATTATGCTAGCTCCCAATCAGAATAAGGTCAAGTAAATGGAAAAATTTTAATAAGAAACAAGTTGATTGAGACTCAGGGTTCATTAAAATTAATTTTTTACTCTCATTTTTTCTTAGCCTGTTTCTGAGAGAAGGTTCAGGGTAGTAAGAAAAATAGGTTGCCTTAACAAGAGTATGGACTTCCTTAACTACATGGTGACAATTAACTGTCTCCTTTTCCCCGTTTATTTCCCAGCCCTGCAGAAAATGTAAGTGGCATTGTAGAGCTGTTGTATTTGTCTTAAGACAGGGGAAAAAAAAATCTGAAAGGAACTGAGGTAGGCTTCGTGTCTGACCTTTATAGCTCCTTCAAACTGAATTACAGGAACTGCAGAAGCAATTAAAAAGCAAAGCAACAACAACAACAAGAAAAAACCAAAGCAGGAAAACACTAAAAACAAACAAACCCATAAACAAAGAGTGAAGTGGGGCCTAGATATGCACAACAAGCTTTCTCTGAACTGAACGGTCAGAGAAACCCTCTGTGACTTCTGCTCACCGCTGTGCACGGTGGCTCAGTTTCTTGAAATGAAAGCTGCTGCTGAGTTGCTTCCTTTGTCAGAAAGCTCAAGGTAGGATTGGGCAGAGCCATGACCAGGTGAAATGGCAGTGTATAACCTAGCAAGACAAACACGTTACCATCTTGTAAAACAAATGCACATGGAATGTATTTATTTGACTTATTGTACAGGAAAATTTAGACTTAAATTATAACATCCTTGAACTTTCCAGTTAACTACAATTGTAGTACAGTATCATGTCTTAGTATGACTTCTGTTTTAGTAAGAGTACTTAAACATTCATGCACTATATTTTGAGTGAGATGAGCAGCTATACATACTAATTCTTCCTCAGTGGAAAGGAGCATTTCATCGTTACAATTGAAGTTCAATTGCTGGTATTTAAGTACTATCAAATAGATTTCTTTCAACGTGATACGGTATCTGTATAAACTTCAGGGATGATTCTAGTAAAACTGAAACACAGCTATGACTTCAGGTTACCGTGCTGAAATTTGAAGCTTTCTGTAACGTGCATAATAGCAAAGTTGCACAGAGCATACCCGCATTATCAGGGTGAACTTAAACCTAGAACACTGGCGTGATATTTATAGCAAGGTGTGTGTGTGTGTGCGCGTGTGAGGAGGTGCGGCTCCGCTAAAGCCAGGAAAGACCGTAGCCCTGCAAAGGCTTTATGATGAGGATGTCTGGATTAGGAAATAACATGACTTTTACTAAACACTTTTTAGAAGACCCATGTTCTGAATTATCACCTCTTACAATTTGGTTATGTACTTGCGATGACTGTATATGTCTGCCCCTTTAACAATATAAAGCTTCTAAATTAATATTTAAAATGCTGGCCTGCTTATGTTACAGTAATAAAATTTGTGTCAGTTAATTTACTGTCGATTTACATGTAAAAAATTAAACAATATTTTTTCTGCATTTTATGAATTCTGTATACTGGAGTTTGTTAAAGATTGCCATGTTAGGTGATACTGTACAAAATTGTATTGACTACCTTTAGTGAAAATCGAAAGTAAAATTCATATGTATTTCCTTTTTACACTTCCATCTAATTTCTTGACAACTTGAATAAATTTCATAGAGCCTTTCTAACATGAACTATTGTTAATTTAACTGTTGCAATAATTAAGCTTTAAGAAGTATTGTTGGTATATTTATAATTTTAAGAAAATCATGTTTGTTTCATACTGCTTATTTTTAGCTGTTCTATTGTCACTGTTACAGCTGAAGAACTTTACTAAATACTTGACATTACAAAATAACTTGCTGGGGTTGTCCTCTGTATACTGATGTTAAATAAAAATGTGTGATTGAACTGTAAATGTAGATAACTTTCAATAGTCCTTTTCCACACTTGAGTTCTAATTTATCTTGCAGTCTATAGGTGGTCCTTTGCTATCATACTGTGCTGAACAAACGGCCACAATGCAAACTGCTAACTTGCCATGTTTTAAAGTAAGAAGTTGAGCGCATCCTGTAACCCGCTCTGAGTAAATGTCTCCCGTCAGCTCAAGATAGTGCATTTTGATGTTTAAATCTTGCTGATAAGACTGTGTGTTCTGATATATATACATATATATATTTTTAGGATTAGAGTAATAGAGTATTTATAAAACCATTTATAAACTTTGTTTAAACTCGGATTCAATAAAACACAGACATGGATGTACCTAGGCTGGTTCTGCCTAGCCACCAAGCAGGAGCTGGGCCAGAGCATTTGCTATTCCTTCTAGGACTCTCCAGGAGCTCTTTCTTCTGTGGACTCTAGTGCAGGGTACG